CAAGAGAACTGCCTGAGTCCAGGGGTTCAAGTCCAATCTTGAGCAACATGGAGAGACCTTGCTTCTACAATAAATCAAAAGGTCAGCCGGGCATGGTAGTGCATGCCTGTGGTTACAGCTACTTGGAAGTCTGAGGTGGAAGGAACACCTGAGCCCAGTAGGTCAAGGCTGCAGTGGCCGTAAGCATGCCACTGCACTCCAGCCTGGGTGACAGAATGAGACTCCGACTCAAAAAAAAAATTGCATCTTTTTGTAAGTGATGTCATTCTGAAATATTAAAATGTCTTTAAAATAAACATTTCAGAACTTAATTTATTCAAGTGAATATTATTCCCTTCAGAGAAGTTACTTTATTTTTTGTTTTGAGTAGGGGTCTCACTCTGTCACCTTTGTTGGAATGCAGTGGCAGGATCACAGCTCACTGCAGCCTCGACCTCCCAGGATCAACTGACACTCCCACCTCAGCCTCCTGAGTAGCTGGGACTACAGGTGCTTGCCAATGCCCAACTATTTTTTTCTTTCTTTCTTTCTTTCTTTCTTTCTTTTTTTTTGTAGAGATAGGGTCTTGCTATGTTGTCCAGGTTGGTCTCAAACTGCTGGCCTCAAACAATCCTCTCACCTTGACCTCCCAAAGTGCTAGGATTATAAACATGAACCATTGCACCTGGCCCAGAGCAGTTATCTTGGAAAGAAAAGCCCTTCTCCTAGTAATGATTCCATTTCTTCAAATTATTTTGAAAATGTCTTTATTCCTCTTAGGAATTATCTTCATTCCTCTGTTTTTAGTCTTTTTTTTTTTTTTTTTACGCTAAATAGCATAAACCATCTTCTTTATCCACTCATTCTCTGGTCCTGGAACTAGTTTTTTGTTTGGTGTTGCTGTTTTCAAAGTTAAACTATCAAAGAACAAAGATTTGTTACGACCAGAGATATTTAGAAGATTGCATTGCAGGCTTTGAGGACAATCCCAGAAAGGGAATTCCAATAGTATGGTTTAAATCATCTCAGCAAAATTTAGAATGCTATGCTCAACTTTGCCAGGTAAGTGCTTTCATGGGGACATCATTCACCTGTCTTCTAGTTCTGCCTCTTGTAGCCTGCCCCTTGCCAATGGCTAGCTCATGAGCTTGGGAGAGCTGCATGAGTTTCCTCATCTGTAAAACGGTGGTGAAGGACTAGATGCCTGCAAAGGATCTTTCCAGATTTAACATTCTAAAACAATGGCACGTGTCTCCCCACATGACACGTGTTTTTTTATTAAAAGTCACTTTAAGCCATACCTTTCATATATTAAGTCATTATATCAGTGATTGGGGTATTTCTTCCATGGTCTCTTCTCACGTTCTCCTATACTAACATTTAGTGCCACATAGGGGCAAGGACAAAGTTTTATTCCATTTAATTTAGGGATCTGTGGACATTAAAAAAAACTTATTGCATATCAGAGCATGTATCTACCTTTTGTGGGGGGAGAGAGCAAAACAATGTGAAATTAGCCAGGCTTGGTGGTATGTGCCTGTAATCCCAGCTACGCAGGAGGCTGAGGTGGGAAGACCACTGGCGCCTAGGTGTTCGAGGCTCCATGATCACACCCAGGTACTTTAGCCTCAGCGACCAAGTAAGACCCTGTCTCAAAAACAAAAACAAAACAACACAAAAGAATATTATAATTTTCTTTTGTGTTGTCTTGTAATCCATCCTTTTTCTTTCTTTCTTTTGTGTGTGTGTGTGTATGTGTGGGAGTCTCATTCTGTTGCCCAGGCTGGAGTGCAGTGGCATGCTCATGGCCACGGCAGCCTCGACCAGCTAGGCTCAGGCAGTCTTTCCACTTCAGCCTTCCAAGTAGCTAGGACTACAGGCATGCACCCCCACACCCGGCTAATTTTTTTTGATTTATTGTAGAGATGAGGTCTCACCAAGTTTCCAGGGTGGTCTCGAACCTGTGGTCTCAGGCAAGCCTCTCAACTTGACCTCCCAAAGTGTTTGGATGATAGGCGTGAGTCACTGCACCCAGCCCATTCTTTTTTCTCATAGGACAACCTATTATGTTAAAAAAAATTTTTTTTAAATAAAAAATAAAAAACTACCAACACCCTTGATTCTCATTATGGCGTTAATCACTCATGTTATTAAAGCATTGATCTGACCGACTATATATTTTTAAAAGCTTGGCCCTTCCCTTTTCAGCTGGTATTGGGGTAGTCACTTTCTTTTCTTAAAGGTAAAATGATGGTTAAAAAATACTTCCTGCGAAACGCTGCCAGTTGCAGGTATTTCCAGGACATGTCTGTTTCTATTTAGGATATTTCTTTCTTCCTTTTTTAAGTATCCTTGGCCATATAACCTGATCTCTTCCGTAAGAAATGTCAGCAAAGTCTTTGAATTAATGAACTGTGAAGTGCTCAAAAACATACGATTTCAAAAAGTATCCTGCAAGAATGTAACACTAATAGGAGGTGATCCTCGAAGTATAACCAAATATCCCACCCTAACTACAAAGAATTAAGATAAGGACCAGCTTGGGCACAACCTCTTTGAAACAAAGGCCCAAGGAGGAAGAAGTGATGAGGACTGGAAGAGGTCAGAACCAGAGTGGCAGTCTGGGGAAATGTGTTTATGTGAGTGTCTCACTCTGTGCAGCACTTCCGTCAAATAATGGAAATAGACAAACCCCCCTCTAAAAGGTACCAGGTGGAGGCAGGTAGAGAAGGGAGGAGGAGAGGTGTGCTCAGAAGGTTGGCCAAGTAAACCTAAATGGTAGGTCCCTGGCTACACCTCATGTAGGTTTTGTTTTCTTTTAATTTTGCCATTAAAAAAAAAATGCGGTGTAACTCCTTCAATCTTTTTACAATTCTGCATGGTTGAACATTTGAAATGAGTTTGTGTATCACCCCCAGGCGCTGATTCAGACTTGATTGGGGCAAAGCAGGCTGCATGTGCTTATTTTTATCCACGTCATTTGGGACGTTATGTCGCCAAAAGGAACCAAAAATGTGCTGCTCTATTGCCAAATTATCACCTATCCTTCGATCAGACAGGGCGCTGATCCTCATCAACAAGTTGTGCGACCTTAGTGTAACAGCAATGTCAGGTCAACTTGAGAAAGTGAAGAGAGAGCCCTAAACACAAATAAAAAGAAACAACCAACAATCCTTATAATTATCATCATCTGCTGCTTTTCCCTCTTTTGGCAAAGAAACACTCCATCCATTTGCAGAAATCGCCCGCGGAAACGTTACATCAAAACTAATCACAACGATTAAAATCAGCTTTTCTGTGCAAGAGGAGGGTAAAAAGCAAGTTGGAAGCTGGAATGAGACTGGTTTTCCACCAAAAAAAAAAAAAAAACCTGGAAAAAAATTCCTATGTGTATATTTCTCTATACGTATATGTAGAGCTTTATTTTTGAAGGAGATCAATTGTCTGCCCTGTGATCAGTTAATTTGATTTAAGTTTTATTTTGGAGATTGATTTAGACTAGAGGTAGAGGCATGAGCTAATTGTATCCTGATCCTTGCCTTGAGGGGTTTCAAAGCCCTGAAGCAACTCTTCTCTGTATTTTGTTCTGTCTACCTTAGCCAAGCTATTGCATTTCTCTCTGGTGTGGCGAGCCGAGCAGATCGCTGGGAGAGAAATCGGAAAAGGGGGGAGAGAGGAAAAGGAAAAGGGGACTTGGAGAGAGACTTTGTGCTCCAATGTTTCAGGTAAGATCTGACGGTTTGGGTTTGTTATTATTTGCTAAGGAGGGTATGGCTGGGACTTTGGGCGCAACTCGCTTTTACGCATGTGCCAGGCATGGGGCGAGAGCGCGGCACACTCGCACACACACCGCCCGCCGCGCCGGGCGGCTCGGGA